CATCGTCGTCAAACATGTTGTAATGCTGAGTAAGCGGTGACGATGAACTGTCAACCGCTGCAGCGCTTTTGAAGAAGCATAAAAGCGAAAATAAACTCGCTTGTTTGCTTTAAAAGCATAAAATTGACCTTGAACCCCTGTCAAATCCGTCTTTTGGCATTTTGTTAGGTTATGTGTTTGTTTATTTATTTATATTTTTAAGGTTTTATACCCTATTAGAGTTGATTTAGTTAAGTTGTATTTTAATATAATATTGTATTTATGGAGGTACCTATTTGAAGAAAATAAAATTAATTCCAGACGTAGATACATATACGTATGCTTAAATTATTTCATTTGGACGTTAATGGGATTCCACCAGTAAGGAATATGGATAATATAACATACCTACATATTATATAGTTTTAGCACAGAGTTATTCAAAACAGACGAGTTTTGTTATTAAAACTGCACCGATGTTTTTTGTTGTCATGTAATGTATATAGGGCATTAAAAAATAAATAATAATAATAGTACCTATGACATTTTATTTACAAAATAAATTAAATATAAGCAATTATATTAAAAAGGGCCCACCTTGGTTTGTTGAACCTATAAAAAAAATACCTCATTACTGTATACATTTCAAATAATTTTTGCTAATAAGTCGCTCTACCTATATGACAACATTAAATTTGTATATTTATTAATTTCCAATACAAAATATATCATTCCTATAAAAGAATTACTGTATGTAGTTTGTCGACAAGGTATGTATAACTCTATAATACTAGACAAATTTTATTAATTCAGACTCAATGAATATTAGCAATGACCAAAAATGTATAACACCTAAGTACCTACCTACATAAAAAATACTTTGTAAAAAAATAAGTAAGCATTAGATAGGGATTATTTTAACAATTTTCGGTTTTTGTAATAAAACGTTATCATTTCTTACCTCACAGCAAGAAGCCTGTAAATGTTAAAAGGCATAACAGCAATTTTTAATTATTTTTAATGTAGAATAACAACAGTAAGATTGTAGTAAAAATAAAACAATAATATAATAAAAAAATGTATTAAAAATAAGTGAAATAACATAATTTTATGTTTATTTATTAAAAATTAGAAAAGCGAAATAAAACTTGTTTAGTGGGCTGATTTTCTATATTTTAGTTTTTAAATGGGAGTGGAACTGTTGACGTGTCTTGTTTATGTTATGCTTGGCTTTCAATACTGATACTTCAAATTAAGTAAGTTTTTTCACTAACACATATTTATATGAGATACCACTCTTTTTTGATAAAATGTTTTGAATCAGATCACGTTTTCTTTTAAAGCGGGACATTCTGCATTCTTTGGGGATAATGGTACACATAACTTGAAAGTGGGTTTGTCTTGCCTAAAGCGGGACTTATGATGTTAGGTATGACTCAAAAATAAAAGTTTACTTCAGGTTGATTTTCATTTTTATCTCTTCCTCCTTTTTCGATTCAGTTAGTTTTGAACTGGTTTGAGACACATGCCTCAAGTTCTGGCTGGAGTCCAGTTTAAATGATTACTAACTTCGAACAAACTCGGTTTCCCTAAAAATAAGAAAGTCATACTTGATGTCTCTATTATTATACACTTTTATGTATCCTTGATATATGTAAAAAGATCACTTTTTGAGATGTATGTTATTAGTATCATGAGTTCCTTTACTTTAATTTATTGGTGCAGACCAGACAGTTGATTAAACACAATACACAATAAATAGCATTCTCATTCTGCTCTTCAAAGTATGATTTATTTACAGTATATTTTTTTTGTGTGTCAAAAAAATGTATTTTACCTGTAATAAAATTACTATTACAAACTCTTTGATTAGTCTAAGTATGTAGAATTCAAGATCCATAGAGGCAATAAAAACATCATGACTTTACAACCCAAAATAATACAAGTTGTAGGTTTTTCGCCGTAAAATTGTCAAAACCACTTTCAGAAGGGTACTTATATAAACTCTGATTCACTGTACAAATCAATTCAACTCAAAATTTATTAAAAAATACTAAGGTAAACAATTCACATAACCTTCTTTGTGCCAACCAAATGTCATTCCATTTTTTGACAGATTTGAGGTTGAGAAAACAAATCGTAAACAAAAATGATCGTTCAGCGTCATTCCAACCGCTTATGAAACATGTTTCTTTGCTTTTAAAACATGTTTGACGACGATGAACACGGCCAATAGCATTGGTTATATACCTTTTTCTGGAAAGAGGTTTGAATATTTAACGTATTGCATATAATAAAAAAAAGAACGGGTGAGAAGTGAGGTTAGATGAACAGGGTAAACTCATTTCGTTCGGTTTGCCACGTTCCTTTAACTCCTTTAACACTTTTAACTCCAAACGACTCTTTTAGCGTTCGGTTTAGTCCGATTAGTGACAGTTTAACACGCTTAAATGTCATTTAAAAGCACCCTAAAATTTGTCCCGCTCCAGCAGTTACAGTTCAGTGGCTCCAGCCCCTGACTGACCGAACTCGCCTACTGAGTTACCTCTGATTATATAGCCTTTAACAAAAAAAAATCGGTTGACATAACTTCTTCGTAGTAAAACCTCGTTAAATTACGGACGGTGGAATGTAACTTACTGTAAAAAGAGTTTTAAAATGAATAAGAAGTTTAGTTATGGATGATTTAACTGTAAATCGGTGGAATTACATATAATCTTTTGGAATACTGTATCATTAATTCAAAAGTCACCTTTTTTGTGTACCTAAAGTTTTGGGATTTTAATTAGAAAGAACGGAGAATGGTAATAAATAGCTATTTTCGAAACATATAAAAAGCTACAACGTCCTGCAATATATTAGCCGTTGGTTGAAATTAAGCCCACATAATGGAGTAGATACCGCAGTATTTATAAATGTTATAAATCACGATCAACATAATTTTGCCTTTGCAATTTCGATTTCGTAATGTTCGTTGTATGTATCTATTTTGAGTTATAAGTTACATCATACATAAATTCGTGAGAATGCTAGTAGGGTACTTAGCATTTACTTTTTATTTTTCTATGCATTTACCCAAATAGTTCGAATAATGATTCAATCGTTGGGTTGAGAATAAAAATGTTCGCGGTAATTGTGTGTAATCTTTTCTTTAAATATCTAGCTATGATCGTGAACAAGGCGTGGAATATAATTGAAAGATCAAACGAACTTACCTGAAGTGAAGTTAGATCTTAATTATATGAAATGCCTTGTTCGAGATGATCGAACCCACCCACACACCTACACCCAAGATCATCTCTACAAATGTCGCGTTTGAGAATCCACATCGGATGCATCTGAGATGTTAGGTTTGTTCTGGTTCTCAAAATGAAAACTGTTTTGAAACTGCGCCGGACCGTATGCGTAAAGACAAAAAATCCCCGACTGTTTGAAATTCTTGGAAAACCAGAACACGTCATGAAGGTGTTTTGTTTATTGTTTATTATAATAATGAAGTTCCTTTTGAAAGCTCAGCTTCAAATAACATTTGCATGTATATGTTTATCATTATCATCACATTTCAATGGAATAAATAAAAACAGAATATTAAAAAATTAATAATTCTAAAATTGCTTTAATTTACAAATAAAACAAGAACAAGAGACATTCGTCCACATATAAATAAACAATTTGGGATTGTATACGTTTCGTATGGTCTAAAAAGCCAATACAATATTCATAACACTTCAAAAACGCATGCGCGGTCAAAACAGTCCGAGTCGATCCACACTCCCAAGCATGAACACTTTTTGACTGTTTACAACAATCACGGATTATTTCGGATACGAAACCAGAACACTGGACTGAGAGATCCGAAGTAGTCCCAGAAAAACCAGAACACTTTTTATCTACTGCGCATGAGCCCGACAGTTGTGGATCGTTATTTCTCAAAACCAGAACAGACCTGTTGTGAATTTTTTATCACGTGATAGAGAATTAGATCTGAATGTAGATGTAATAAACAAACGCTCTAGACTTTATTGGTCACGTGATAAAATGTCAATGACAAGTTAGGAGTTTATACTTTTTAAATTTGACTTTTGAGACTACAAATCAACCTAAATTTGAAATCTAAACAAAAATTAAACAAACTAATCACTTTTATATTCATGCTAGCATAAACAAAGGATAAATTGACAAACTTGGCTTCACAGAACACTTACTTTCTGGCATGGAACGAACATCTCATTCACATCTCATTTCAAATCGAGATGTAAAAAATGTAATCTGAACAGGTACATCTGGGATAAACAAACGCAGATGTAGATGTGTCCGATGTGGATAAAAAAACGCTCGAGATGTAAAAAATGCATCGGATGTGGATTTTCAAACGCGGCAAAGATTCAACCACAATTACCTCTTTAAAAGAATGACGTAAGAGTGTATGTGAGTACCACACGACGGAAGCAGAGGTGGGAAGAACTAGCACCACCAGTTGTTATTTTAGAACTTTCTAAATACTTTTGAGGGTATTTAAACTTTAAAATACGGGGCCACAGAGCGCGAAAAGGGGGTACTACCTATGATCATTTCGGATACGGCGTTTCATATAATTGAGATCGAACTTCACTTCAGATATGTTCGTTTGATCCTTCAATTAATGAGCACTTGCGAGGTAATATGACCGCTCACAAAACGACCCGCTTTGAGCCATCTATATAACGATATCTGTATCATTGACTCTGTCAGAAAACAGTCCCACAGGGTCGCCATATCATAACCTATTGCAGCATTTTCTCAGGTCGTTGGAATTCCTAATAAGTCATTACTTTGTACAAAAAAAAAACTACACTGAAAGTCGTTATCTTATAAATTAATCACTGTTCTACTCATTACCTATATATTAAATTTCCTATTTTACCAAATAATATTGAAGACCATTTCTGTAAGTTTTGGAAATAAAAGCATACCTACATCTTAGTAGTTTTAATACTTATTATTGATAATATTTCGTTTAAATCAGTTATTTTTTTTTTCAGTTAATAAATGAAAAAATAAAGATTAGAAACAAAAAACGGGAAATAAAATCTAGTAATATTGATTTGGTGACGGAAACAGATCAAGCCGTCGAAAAACTGCTAATTGATGGTTTGTTAAGAGAATTCAAAGACCATAAATTTATTGGCGAAGAAACCGTCAGTTCAGGGGGCGAAGTGAAATTAACAGATGCTCCAACATGGATTATAGACCCCATAGATGGGACCCTGAATTTTGTTCATTCCTTTCCACATTCGTGTGTTTCTATAGGTAAGTCTTTTACATGATGCTATGACGAACAGATAAGCTCACGCGCATAATAGTCAATTTTAAGCGAATAACCAAAAGCATTTGGTATTTACCATTTGAGATTGGTAATTACTACATTCGGGTGGCTTCGGTTATTAATTTGGTAATATATCCGTGACGTCATAAATCAGCTGTTTTCCGTCAAAGTTATAACCAAAATTTTGCGGTATTTACCTTCTTCCAGGGGGTCGATTCTCGACTCGTAGGAATTTTTTCCTATAGGAATTTTTGACATTTTTATATACATCGAAAATTTATGACATTTTCCTACATATAGGAAAGTGTCACAAATTCCTATAGGAAAAGGTTCCTACAAGTCGACTTGTAGGAACCTTTTCCTATAGGAATTTTTGACATTTTTATATACATCGAAAATTTATGACATTTAGGAAAATGTCACAAATTCCTATAGGAAAAGGTTCCTACAAGACCCCCAGGGGGTCGATTCTCGACTTGTAGGAATATTTTCCTATAGGAATTTTTGACATTTTTATATACATCGAAAATTTATGACATTTTCCTACATATAGGAAAGTGTCACAAATTCCTATAGGAAAAGGTTCCTACAAGTCGAGAATCGACCCCCAGAGCTGTTTTTTGATTATTGGTTATAGGTAATTGACAGTTACAACTGGAGTGAGTGTTTTGTAACGACTATATAGTACTGGACAAATTAGGTATACTAAACCCGATTTTGTGCCTTTTTTAAACATTAAAATCATATTCATAAATGGTAGAAGATTATTTGATGAGTAAAAATTGCAAAGGGAAAGACTTCAGAGACTAATTTCTTCTTGGGATCTTATTATATCTTGTAGGACAATAAATAATATAGTTTAAATAAAAATTTATATCGCTTATTCATAAACACGGCGAAAAAGATAGGTTAAATTGAATTGACATTTAAAAATAAACAAACTTACAACCACAGTTATTACCACATCGTTTAAGCGATTGCCACTTGTGACGTCAGTATACTAACCCCTTCAATAAATTCAAGCAATAACCAAGAAATTTTGTGGTAAATACCAAGAAAATTTGGTAGTTCACTTAAAATTGATTAAAATCCTCTATTTCTCTCTCTTCCTTGACGTCAACGCGTGACAAATTTTTGACATGTTATTTGAAGTTAATGGCTAAATGCATGCATTTTGGTTCGCTTTTCTACGTTTATTGTGTTTTAATATCGTGTGAATACGTGATTTTAATTGTTTTGTTCATTTGTTTTTACGTTTTGGTTTTTTATTACGTTAAAAATAATGGTTTTCTGTGCAGTGACTGGTTGTACCAGTAACATAAATATCATATTATCTAAGATAGACTCTCCCTTCACACTGTATAACCAATACACCTTCTGTCCGCATGATATACCAGACGGGGAAAGGGGTGTCGTACGTCGCACATAACCGTAGTATAGCAGAAGTAAAAGTTGGAAAGGCTTTTGCCAGTTCTCCCACTTTATACACATAAATTGACAGGTTTGCGGCGGATCTCACCGAAGTGGACGCGATACATTGGCGTACAAAATTATTTTATAGATGTTAATAACAATGTCGAGTAAATAGTTTAATAAATTGTGAATAGCCTGTTGAAATTTTGAAAAATTATGATTTGAATATTATAATACATGTTTAATAATTATTTATAGTCCATAAATACATGCGATTGTCCGGTTCCGCCGATAACAATTTAAAATTACTTATTCTATAAAACGACACTGGCAGGTAAACATTACTGCGAAATTCTCGAAGCCGTCCGACGTATTTTGACGTTTACCCCCTTTTTACCTACCAAAAGCCTTTCCAACTTTTACTTTTGCTATATTTCGGAAAGGTTTATTTAGATTTTATAAAAATTATTTATTGTTCAAATAACATATACACGTTCAATAGGTCTTTTTTATATATCTTCATTCTAGTTTTTACATCGGTATTGTCAAGACTACCTTTCTTTAGGAAATAAAAACTTATTAAAAACGATAGAAAAACTTTATTTCAGACATAAATATATAAAAAGAAAATCTTACCAAAACATATTTGTATTGCATGTCACACCTCCTTTCAAAGTTGTCTGCTGGACAGAATGACAACTCTTTTGGGACAGGTATCCACAACAATTTTATACATGCCTTTGCAATGTTAAATAAATCAAGCCTTATTCTCTAATATATGCCTCCGTCTATGCTAACAAAATTTCACGTATAAAATGAGCGCGTAACATTCTTATTACAAATAATTAAGCTCAATACATATTTCCTCGCCATCCTAAATGTCCTTATTAAACAGTTCGATGTTTAAATTTTTCTTGAAAATCTCAAAAAACTACAAAAAAGCACAATTAAAATTAAGCTGTCCTTTAACGCCGTCAACAAAATATCTTAGGTTGCCAAACTTAAAGGTTATGAACCAGAATGTTCAATACTCACATACGATACACGTATAAAAAAAGATAATACAAATCTTAAGTGATTGTTTATTATATTTATGTTTTCAATTATTTTTCCTTTTTTAATAGATAATATTAAAGGGAAGAGTATATTTTTTAATAAAAATGTAGTACAGCATATTTACCAGAAATTTATAAAATATACCTTAAAACAATAATTCCACAATTTTCATTAAAAAGTTTTTAAAAAATTTCTAGCTAATACTGAAAGGAAATATATAAATCATTTGATAGATTCAAAATAATCATATGCCAAATAGGTACAAACTTTTTATTTATTTTCGTGTCGTCCCTATATTGCCACTATACATCCCCAATCTTTAGATTGTACTATGTATCCGCAATCTCTAGAATACTATATACCTAATACTAATACTATACTAAATAAGTATTGTCCTTTTATCAAATTATGGTATTTTTAATTGAGGTATTATATTATATTACTAACGTTCATTAGTTGCAAATAAACAAGTTTAACCCGTGCACAGCCAATGGCTTTTACGAGAACACCATTGTTTATTTACATCTATCCCCTTTAAAAATAAATTTGTATTTTTGTTTTTTTTTGTAAATAAACATTATTATTATCTGGATCTGACAACATAGGAAGAGCGTACTATCGGAAATATGTTGCTGACAAATTCAGTGTAAACAAGCCGTATCTATTATCCGATATCTTTGACCAGTAACAATAATAAAACAGCAAAAAAACTTTTCTCCTGAGTGTCAATACTTTACTTTTCCAACTGTTGAGACTTAAAAGGTTCTTTCGTTCATCCCACTGGGGGTCAATTCTCGACTTTTATTCCCATGGGAAAATAAAATTTTCCCATGGGAATTCAGTTTTCGTATTCTCGACATAAGCGGTGGAATATTTTCCAATGAGAAGTATGGGAAAATATTCCCCTGCTTACGAGCATTGGAAATTGTGTTTTCCAATGGGAATTGTACTAGAGTTTGCGCATTAAAGTCGAAAATTTGACGAAAGACCACGCGAAAGTCTACGACATAACCAAAGATTATTGGATATCTTGGATTTTTAGTGAAATTTTAGTTAAAACATTTTTTTGGCGTATTTATAGATTGATATTATTTTATTTATGTAGGTATATTATTTTTAATTCTCTTTCACTAAGAAACTGTATAAACTGATTTTCCTAAATAATTTAGAAATTGTGGGAGCTGCTAAGGGACTGGCAAATAACACAAATTGAGTGTAGTAAATTTAATAAGACCTTTTCGAAAATTTTATTATTTTCGTTAATGAAAGAATTTCTTAGTTTCTCAAAACTTTCGTTGCTCTTCCATACAAAAGCTACCTTTTCTTTTTTCAACATGAGAAAAGAAAAACTAAGAATAACTCGACAAGTTTTAATTATTATACGTAATCGAATATTTTCACTTATTCTCGATCATGATAGCGATTGCTCGGCACGGCACCTGCTCCAGCGCGGAGGCTCGGCAGGTAATCGGATACCCAAAAACCACAACAAATACAAATATTGCCAACAGTAAATTTTAAAATATCTTTAATGTTATTGGTTTTTTCGAAATATTCGTGAACTTAATATCAGACATACGTGAAACTACTATTTCCATGGGAATGTCTATTCCGACACGTTCGAGAATTGCATAACCTATTACCATGGGAATATAAGTAGTGGAATATTTTCTCATGGGAAAATTTTCCAATGATCTCGAGAATCGAGCCCCTGGGGGTCGATTCTCGACTTTTATTCCCATGGGAAAATAAAATTTTCCCATGGGAATTCAGTTTTCGTATTCTCGGCATAAGCGGTGGAATATTTTCCAATGAGAAGTATGGGAAAATATTCCCCTGCTTACGAGCATTGGAAATTGTGTTTTCCAATGGGAATTGTACTAGAGTTTGCGCATTAAAGTCGAAAATTTGACGAAAGACCACGCGAAAGACTAAGACATAACCAAAGATTATTGAATATCTTGGATTTTTGGTAAAATTAGAGTTAAAACATTTTTTGGTGTATTTATAAATTGATATTATTTTATTTATGTGGGTATATTATTGTTACCTCTCTTTCACTAAGAAACTGATTTTCTTAAATTAGTTAGAAATTGCGGGAGCTGCTAAGGGACTGGCAAATAGAGGCGAGTTCGGTCAGTCAGGGGCTGGAGCGGGACAAATTTTAGGGTGCTTTTAAATGACATTTAAGCGTGTTAAACTGTCACTAATCGGACTAAACCGAACGCTAAAAGAGTCGTTTGGAGTTAAAAGTGTTAAAGGAGTTAAAGGAACGTGGCAAACCGAACGCAATGTATGTAACACAAATTGAGAAATTTGTAGTAAATTTAATAAGACCTTTTCGAAAATTTTATTATTTCCGTTAACGAAAGAATTTCTTAGTTTCTCGAAACTTTCGTTGCTCTTCTATACAAAAGCTACTTTTTATTTTTTCAATATGTGAAAAGAAAAACTAAAAATAACTCGATAAGTTTTAATTATACATAATCGAATATTATCCTCGGTCATGCTAGTGATTGCTCGGCACGGCATCTGCTCCAGCGCAGAGGCTCGGCAGGTAATCGGTTACCCAAAAACCACAACAAATACAAATAATACCAACAGTAAATTTTAAAATATCTTTAATGTTATTGGTTATTTCGAAATATTCGTGAACTTAATATCAGACATACGTGAAACTATTATTTCCATGGGAATGTCTATTCCGACAAGTTCGAGAATTGCATAACCTATTACCATGGGAATATAAGTAGTGGAATCTTTTCCCATGGGAAAATTTTCCAATGAACTCGAGAATCGAGCCCCTGGCGTCGGAATGAACTACACCAACGCACACCATACCTTTTGTTTGGCCCGGTGTAAAATCCACTACACCTTCCTGTTGGCGATGTGGTGTCCACTGGTGGATATTTCTCCACCAGCTATTTAGCAGGAGTTAATTACACTCGACATGTGTATCAGGAATAAGGATGAAGTAAATTAGGTAAATAAATGTTGTGTAACTGGTGTAATTTACACTGACGGACACTACACCAACAGAGAATGAAAGAACCTAAAATGTATGGGTGGAAAAATGCTATCAAAAACTTAATTGTAATATTAAAAATGTGAGAATATGTTCAAAGAATTTTTCAAATGAAGAATTATGCATTAAAGAAAAAATATTGGAATTGCCGAAAAATAAATGAAAATTGAAATATGAATGCTGTATATTTAATTTACTTAGGGTCGATTCCACCGTTGTGTTAAACGGAGATTAAAATGACATTGTTAATGTAAAAATGTCATTTTAAACTTCATTTAACACAACGGTGGAATCGGTCCTTAATCTACCAAAATCTCCAAAGACACTGAATTGAAAAAACGTTTTGCAAAAAAATGTGGATTTACTAGATTTAGAAAAGAAACCTCCAAAATGCCAAAGGGCAAAATATCAAATAAATATTGAGGAAAACTTCAAGTCTATACATCATAAGTACAATATGAAAAATAAATCATAAAATTATTTTCCAAAATGAATTACAAAAAAATATTTTGTACTGTGCAAATTAAAACTATTATAAAGGCCTAAATTGATTTATTACAATATTGATTATAAATAATTATTTGTTTATAATTGAGAAGATTTTTAAACATAAAAACCATACAATGTAAATAAATTAAAATCAAATAATGTATTCCTATATTTATTTTTTCTATTAAATAAATTAATTACATAGTGTACATTGACTTGTTTGTATTTTACCTATTTAAATAATTTAATATAAAACAGTCATAACGAATGTTTCAGCAATTTTCAAACAATAATACAATGAAAAGCTATAGCCTCCCCATATATATCAATACTCACACGATGACGTCATGCGCGGCTCGATTCAAAATTCGTACCCCAAGCGAGCTTATTTGTCCATCCTAGTATCATGAGTCTTTTAGGTCCATATTTATAAAACAGTTCAATTATAAACATAACGATTTGTAAAAAGGTATAGGTAGGTATATAAACTGTTGTGGTGCAGTTGAGTTCTGGATAAATTATTTGTTTCTTTATTCTTTTTTTTTATATCGACATCATAAACTACTATTTTTTAGCTCTTTTCGTAAATCAAATACCTGAGATAGGAATTATTTACAATCCAATGATGAATCAACTCTTTAGCGCCAGAAAGGGCAAAGGGGCATTTTTAAATGAACAACAGATTCATGTGTCTGATATCAAGGATTTGTCTGATGCTCTGCTTATGATGGAATGTGGAACTAGTCGGGAAGTAGAGAGAATGAATGCTGTTTACGAGAATCAAAAGAGATTAATGCCAATAGTGCATGGGTAAGCGTTTATTTCAAAAATTATCTTTCACATTTTTCTATAAATTCAACGCAAACGCAATGCAATTTACATTTTTGTTTACATCTTTTAACCTAATTTTGGAAATCAGTGCCCCACATTGACGGCCAAAATTGTAACCTCCTTTTTACGCCATAACAAAATGTAACAAAAGTCAGCGAGTTATAAGACATATTTTTACACTTTTAACAATGTTTTCTTCTTTTTAAGATTGAGATCATTGGGATCGGCTGCTCTAAATATGGCGATGGTGGCTTTGGGTGGTGCAGATGCTTATTTTGAATTTGGAATTCATATCTGGGATATTGCCGCTGGTGAAATAATAATAAGGGAAGCGGGTGGAGTGGTCATTGATCCTTCCGGTGGGGCTTTAAAACGGTTTTCAAGGAGGGTGTTATGTGCAAGTTCACAAGAGTTAGCTGAAAAACTATCACAAGAGCTGGTTCAATTGTATCCGGAGCCAGATGCCTAATTAATTAATATTTTGAAAAAATATATAGTTAAGTCCTAATCAATTAATAAAATGTTACCTTATTTTGTATTTTTATTAAGGTATATGATTATTTTACTTCGCTAAAAATGTTATTTTCTGCAGTATTATAAACCGGGTTATTTCATAAAGAATAATTTTAATCCCCAAATCTAGTTTTATCTGTACAGAATACAAAAGTGCAAAAAGAGGATTATTAATATTATTAATAATTGCTAGAGTTTTTGCAAAGTATTATTTGTGAAACCTCAATTTGTACTGTTAAAACCTTACGAGTCTTCTATATGACCCGCTAATAAGCTAGGGAAAGTTTATCATAACGGATTATTTACAATCCTACTAACTGCGCCAAAAATAATTATTTGGAAAAATAGGTATTTGTTTAATATAATAATAGTGACTTGATGAAAAAAAAAATCTGATGTGTCCAACACATGACTTTCCTATCTAGTTATTACAGGCTTTTTCCGGTTATTTTGTGCAACCTATTGCAGCATCTCTATAAATGTTTAGAGGATAAACTAAATATATACATTGTCCACATACATCTACCGCGAAACATTTTTCTATAGATATTCATTGAAAATGAAAATACTGAAAAATCTAAATTTAGCCCTTTTCCTACAATTTTTCCATTACGGTCCATTTTAAAAAAATCATGTATAAACAAATATTATAGAGATCGATATCGCAAACAACTTTTATTTCAACAATTTTCATAAAAATCAGAATTTTGCACATTTTGTCAAATTTTTCGAATACGGACCATTTCAGGAAATTTTTACATAAAGCAAAAATTATAGATAATAATATTTGAAGTAACTTTTATCTGAACAATTTTCTTCTCCAAACATAAATAACAGATATATTCCATAAAATATAAAAACGGCCTCCCATAAAGTACCCCCCCAGATGTTCCGACTTTGTCCAAAATCTAATCATTTCACGTCAGGCCGAAATAAACCTTAAGTTTAAAATTTAATGTTTTTTCTTTATCCGTTTTTGAGTTTTCTTCAAATTTCGAAATTTACACATTTTCTCAAATATCTCGAATACGGTCCATTTTAGAGAAATTATGTATAGAACAAAAATTATAGAGAATTATATTACAAACAACTTTTATTTGAACAATTTTTATAAAAAATATTTTTTTTTACATTTTGTCAAATTTCTCGAATACGGACCATTTTAGGAAAATTTTGCATAAAACAAAAATTATAGATAATTATATTAAAAGTAACTTTTATTTGAAGAATTTTCTTCTCTAAACGTAAATAACAGATATATTCTATAAAATATAAAAATGACCACCCATAAAGTACCCCCCAGATGTTCCGACTCTGCCCAAAATCTAATCAGCTCATTGGACGCTGAAAAAAAGCTTAAGTTTAAAATTTGGTGTTTTTCTGTGTATCGGTTCATGAGTTATGCGTTATACAGACACACACACACACACACACAGACACACACACACACACAGACATCATCGCGAAAATAGTCAAAACGGATTCAGGGGACCTCAAAACGTAAAAATCCGTCGAAAACTGGAGGTCGAAAAAAATCATGATTCCTATACTTTCCTTATATCTGTATACAGATAGGAAAGTAAAAATATATAACCTCGGGTTGACTGACAAAGAAAATATTTATTTACACTATATATTTCATTTGATAATATGAAACCTAAAAGTTGCCGATAAATAATTCTATTTTTCTAATTTTGTCATATAAAGTGACATTTTTTGTAATCGCAGCAAGTGTCAAAATGATCTACTTTACACAACAAGTTGCATAATGTTGAACATTATAGAACTGGTTACGAAAAATTCATGTCACGAGTTGCGAAAAGAAATAAAATAAACCTTTTTTTGTTTTATAATCAATATAATACATTAATTATGAAAGTTTATATCAGAGAAGACCAGGTTAACTCAAAAATAGAATTAGATTAAACTTACAACCTAGTAATAATTTTGTTTTGGTCCTTATTTTCTATTCTAAATTAGCACAAAATAATTAAAACAGTTAGTCATTCCAAAAAAATGAACTGCCAGTGAGAAGATTTGGTATATCTAAGGGTTGCGACATACAATGTATTCTGCCTACAATACGTAAAATCATGAATAATGGATTACGTTTAAATATTTTATGTTAAACACAAAAATATTATTTGAAAAACTTATTGTTTGGCAGGTCGTTGAAATGCCTAATACACGACAAAACCCAATTTTTGAAAACTATAACTTTAACAATATAAACAAACAATTAATATGGTGTTCTATTTGTCAATAAAATGCGGTGCATATGCAATTAACAATACAAGAAAGTAATATTGGTTGCCTAGATGTCAGTAATGTTTTACCAAAACACAATTTTATAAATAATCTAGACAAAATTAGAAAAAATATTGTACCTATATTAAGTGGATGAAACGAGGACCTTTTAAGTGATGTCCACAGAAGACATTTTTTTATAAAACACACTGCTTTTATGCAGGAATAATAATCAAAACACACATTGTTTAAGTAAAATAAATAAATTAATAAATAAACGGAATAGTTTAATAATCCAAATAGGTAAGTACGACATAAGAATTAATATTTTTTTAATTGCATAGGTATTATTTATTTAATTCATGTTCACTTTCAAATAATATAACTTATTAATTTAACTATCTTCAAATTTATTCACACTGTATAATGCGCTGTTTTAAAATAAAATAATGGTGATACTATTTATCCTTCCTCCATACTACTAGTAGTTCTTTATACAATGATTTAAATTCTCAATAACTAAAAATATATGTATTGACCATTAATTTGACAGAATTGTCGCTCTAGAGTTGCAACATCTGACCAGAGTTGTCTCTGATCTGACCATCAAATAAAATCGTTAGTTGAATTATTGTACCAATAGATGTCAGGCGCGATTGCCTCCAAAACTTTTACATGGCGATTATCCTACCTTAGTTCTTTACAATGATATAACCGATTTTCGTTCAAAGACGACTCAGCTAAGTTCTGTTTATAAATACGGACCTAAGCTACCTGGCATTTTGATATAGCAGAAGTTGGAAAGGCTTTTGCCAGTTCTCCCACTTTATACACATAAATTGACAGGTTTGCGGCGAATCTCACCGAAGTGGACGCAATACATTGGCGTACAAAATTATTTTATAGATGTTAATAACGATTTCGAGTAAATAGTTTAATAAATTGTGAATAGCTGTTGAAATTTTGTAAAATTATGATTTGAATATTATAATACATGTGTAATAATTATTTATATTCCATAAATACATGAGATTGTCCGATTCCGCCCAACATAGGGCGCGGCCATTTTGATTCCTATGCCATAGTTTATAGCTAAAGAATCGCTCACTCTGCGTCGGCACTTTTGATCTCAATGTTCCAGTTTATTCACTATGTAATTCGGATAATACAATATATGACAAACGCCTATAATAAAACAGCAGTCTTCTGCGTACCTATTAAAAATATTGCGCCAAGATGTAGGCAACACGTAATAAGGGATCAAAATGGCGGAGTTTTCTATCTTCTTTTAAAAGGCACTCAGAAAGCTGCGCAGTGCGACCATTTTCCGTATAGTAAAAGAAAATCAAAGTATGTGACTGACAGCAGCAAGCAAAATATCAGGTGCGTTTTAATCATCCGCTTCTGCTTTCGGAATTGTCGGTTAAGTCGTTTTAACCTATCAGATTAAAACAAGAAAACCGACAATTCCGAAGCAGAAGCGGATGATTAAAACGCACCTATTAAAAATATTGCGCCAAGATGTAGGCAACACGTAATAAGGGATCAAAATGGCGGCGTTTTCTATCTCCTTTTAAAAGGCACTCGGAAAGCTGCGCAGTGCGACCATTCTCCGTATAGTAAAAGATCAAAGTATGTTTTTCGCATAGTTAAAATAATGGAAGTGTTCTGTGAATAATGGAACTAGAGGAACAAACATCCAAAATAGCATTTATGTGTGTGGTCAAATTTCTTTAAAGGTTAAGCCGGTTAAAACACCTTAAAAGAAGAAAAACATTCTATTTACTGTCACTTGTCACTAGGGTATATATACTGGGAAAGAAGTGTGTATTTGTATTTACGTTTGTACATGATCAACCGGTTTTTTCACTCAATTCAATATTAAAAATATAGAAAATAACCCTAAATACGTTATTTTACAAATTTTCTAGTAATTACCTTTTGCTAAACATCTTTATTTAAAATGAATAATATGGTGCATTGTCAGTTATGGATGGGGAGTGTAAGTATTTTTTATACTATTACATTAATAATGAGTACACTATATTATAAGCGATTTTAACTTCTGTTCAATATTAGACAACTTAGGGCTTAAGACCTGTCCCTTTAGGTCTCAAGGATCTTCAATGCTGATTTACAATAAATGTGATCTCTGCCCACTTAAACCTGCTATATAGGACACCATCTTTTAGAACATTTTAAATAAATAAATTAGGACAAGAAATTGGGCAAATATTAATAATTTAATATGGATTTAAATTATTAATGAGATGATTTTTGCCACCAATCTAATAACTTTTATCAGATTCCTCCTAAAAGCCATAAATATTAATTATATAAGTTTTTAGTTGGAGCCTTATATGACGGAAACATTCATTTTAACCGCATTTAGAAAAATGGCAGAAAATCCTCTAAGTGTAAAAATAATGAGAAACAAATTTACCGGAGAGCCAGCAGGATATTGTTTTGTACATTTTGCAAACGATGAAGAAGCTATACAGGCAATGCATAAATTGAATGGCAAACCAATACCAAACACGGCCCCCACAGTTAGATTTAGATTGAATAATGCAAGTAATACAGGAAGATCGCTCATAGACAGAGAATTTTCTGTTTGGGTGGGAGATTTAAGCCCAGATGTGGATGATTACAATCTCTATAGGGTGTTTTCTTCCAAATATAATACAATTAAGACTGCTAAAGGTAAGTTTACTTGTTTATTATTATTTTGTAGAGCTGAAACAGCCTATCTTTACCTGTGTATTATAACAAATATATTATTTTCAACAATTAACACTTCATTGAAAATGGATGAATCACATCAAAGATCAAGGAACCAGAAGAGAATGAAAGTTATAGAAGGAAAGATTTCAAATAAACCCAGACTGTTATCTATCCATATTTTATTTGTTTATATAAGTTGCAATTCACATCTCTAGAATGATAAACTTATTGCTTTTTATTTCAATGGTTTTTTTTTTTTTCGATATTTTTTTAGTAATTTTGGATAACAGCGGCTTTAGCAAAGGCTATGGTTTCGTGAGATTTGGCAGCGAGGATGAAATGAAAGACAGCCTAGTGTCTATGAATGGTTATATAGGTCTAGGAACAAAAGCGCTAAAAATATGTAACGCAGTACCGAAACCAAAAGGTGCTCTTACTCCTGGTACTGGAAATGCTAGTGGAGGTACAAATCAATCTAATGGTACAGATTTCAGCCAGTATTATGACCCTTCCACATATTGGCAAAATTACGCTTCATGGCAGTCGGTGAGAAACATTAAAATAAATATTTACTTTAAATTTTTAGAATTTTTACTTTTGCCTTAAATGATACCAACATCAAATTTAACCATAGCCAAATTTATAATCATTAGGTAATTAGACATCTTTTGTTTTATAATGTTATTTTCATTTCCAATCCAGATTTAATAGTATTTGGTGTTCTAGCAAGGATACTATGAGCAGTCTGGCAATGAAGTACCTCATCATGATTCAAATCCTTTTGGAGAAAAGAAGGAAGACGATTTAGATCTTATAGGTATTTATGATATTTTAATATTTTACTTTAAAACTGTTGTTTTTTTTATTAATTTTAGAACATTCCGCTCCATTGGATACTGATAAAATGAACAGGGATAAAATAGATGCTGACTGCAATCTGTGGGATGCTTTGGAAAGTTCAAAATGGCTTCCGTGTGATATGTTGGAGGTAGCATGATTAAGAATGGTTTGATGCAGTATCTAAAACTGTTTTTCGGTTAAATAATTTTTAGTTGCTTATCAAATTGACAACCAACTATTACTGAGTTTTGCCACAAAATATTTGTCTTATTATAATAAGCTTTAATATTTCATTATTATTGTTTCAAAACATATCAATTGCATTTAATGGTTTTGACAAAAAAGGATTTTGAACATTTCTACAAAGTTTATGATTATTAGTAACCATGTTGAATGCAGTTAACATGTTTTGAAAGTATACTTAATAGTTGCATTTCTGATTCATAATTTAAAAAGTAGAAATTAAAAACATGAATGATTTTTTAATTAAATTCTATAAATCTTACAATAAATTGTTTAATTTATATTATTCAAAAAAATTTTACCTTAAGATTTAGACGCCATTCTTAAATGAAGAACTGAAAATTGCCATTTCTTCTTCCAAAAATTTCGCTGATGTGCCAGTTGATATGTTTAAAGCTTTTACATAAATATTAATCGACTAAAAGTTTGGAATTGTATAACAAAATTTGCTTCAGTCAAGAATTTCCTTCAACTTGGTGTCAATCAAGTCATTCCCTCGTTAAGATATAAAATAAATTCAACCCTTCCTAATTCAATTAGGCCCATATTGTTAACTTCTGGAAACTATTTGAAAAAATGATCAACAAACGATTGACTTTGTACTAGGAAAAGTTTAATGAGGCACAATCTGGTTTTAGAATAAATTGCAATGCAATTAATAATCTCCTCCATCCTCAAACGGAAATTGCAAATGCTATGACTAACCAACAAGATGCTATTGCAGTAATTTTTTATATAGAAAGTGCCTACGATATGAATACTTATTATCCTTAATAAACTTAATGAATATGAAATACTGGCAATATGGTTAATTTCATAAGCAATTTTCTGTCTAATGGAACTTTTAAGGTAGCTGTATACAGGGCCAGATCTTGCTCATATGCTATTGAGAACGGAGTGCCTCAGAGATCATTTTTGAGGCCCACTTTATTTATTCTAGCTATTAATGATATTTGTTTCTTTATCCAACGACCAGTTAAATTTGTTTTGTATGCAGATGATGCTGTCTGCCAAGCTAAGAATATGGTCAATACTTCCCACATTACTTCAAAATAATGCGAACAATCTTGGTCACTGGGCTAAAAGTAGAAGACATAAAAGTATCTAAATTCCCCATATAAACCTCGATGGGTGTCTTATATGCTAATAAATTTCTTGGCAGTTTTTTATAGTAAGTGGCATATACAAGAATATTTTAATATCTTTATCACACTAATATTGGAGGGCTAATGAAGAGTCACTACTAAAAATTTACAGATTTAATCCTATCCAGATTGGATTGTCGTAGCCCGGATCTGTTTTTTACACTTAGAGAAGAAAATTCGTCAAATGAAAGTTGATTGTGATGTCATTCTCTATAATTTTTGTCCTACACATGATTTTCCTAAAATGGTCCTTATTCGAGAAATTTCACAAAATGCAAAATTCGAATTTTCAAGAAAATTGTTCAAATAAAAATTGCTTGTGATGCCATTCTTTATAATTTTTGTTCTATTCATGATTACCATAGAAATAATATAGAAGACCATTATAAATATAACCATTGTCATTTAAGCAGAAATTGAAACCTACTGTGCAGAAAAATGCGTCTCTGCGCCTGACATCGCAAAATAGTGTGTCTAGAAGCATGCGCAGTATGCATGACTTGTCCCTGTAGTGTTGCCAAGTATATTAAACATACCTAACACAAAAGAATTTCATGATTTCTTTATTTTTAAATTATATGATTTAAACAGTTTATATCTACGAAATATCGCCACAAAATAACTTAAACATTTAAATAATCAACTAATAATATTTATGTGTAATTACATTCCCAAAAATATATACAAATACGGTTTTAATGTTCAACAAGCGATTCACCTACAAATTCAATATTGACCTGGCAACACCACTTAAATCCGGTGTTTCAAGGCTATATGATGCTGCCCTTACAGGACCGTTTGTGATATTTTGGATTCAATTTGTGGTTTATTATTTAATTACACGGTGAAATAGTTATATTACAAGATTTATGTCTGGAAATCTAAACCTACCTAAGAATTATAATTATGTAAATAGAGAGCTGTATATTTATATATAGGCTGCCCAACGACGGGGAGACATTATCGGTATCTGACAAAACAATGAATGATTTTTCGTTAAAAATAGTAAACAGGTTATGATCTTTCCATTTAAAATATTCTGATAGTTCTGTTATTTCCGTTTTATTTTAAATGAGATGCCACTTCTATTATTCCTGATACCGATGGAACACATTGCTCAGTCAGAGACCGTGTTTCAGTCGGGTATAATTTGAAAAACCCTATTAAATTGTACCTTTACCTAAAATTTATGGCATCACAGGCCGAGTTGGCATCAAGTAAATTTTCAAATGTAGAAACTGAAAATTAACCCTATTAAATTGTACCGTTACTTAACATTAGTAATGCCACTGACAGAGTTGGAATGGGGTATACTTTCAAATACAGGTTTCAAGGCATTTTAAAACATAAACCCGATCTCAACGAACTTAGAAACTCTTGTCATTCGATATTTTAATCGTTATACTTCCTCTTCGCTTTTTTGGCTGGCACAACAATTATTTACATTTCTTCATTTCTTACCGCGTGCGAACCAGTACGGTTTAAAGAAATTTTAAAAACCTACTTTAAAAATTAAGATGTTAATGATTTTCTCATGGATCCATCTTCAGATCTTGACTAAATGTAAATGGAACTATTCCTTTTCTAACAAAAAGAATCATAGAAATCGGCAACGTGGTAAAGAATTATCACTCAAAAAATGTTTCAACAAATTGAGAATATCCTCCCATTTTGAAGTATGTTAAAAAAATTGTTAATAAAGTGCAAAGTAGGGCGAGAACATATAATAATAATAATACTCTCCCTAATTCACCCCCTTACGAGTGAATTTCAACCCCTGAAGCCAACAAAGTGACTTGTGTAGGGGAAGGGACGGCTATTATTATTATTTGGCGTGGCGCTCGGAGGCGTCTTAGATGATTGATGGCGCCATTTGACTTACAAGTGAGGAAAACCTCACCCAAACGGCAAACGGTAACGCATGGCGATTTTTTTTAATCTGGATGTTATATCAACAGAAAATAAATTTCTGCTAATACAGCATCCATCAAATCCTATAGAGAACCATGCAAATAAATTCACATGGTCTTTCGTAGGATTCGAAACCCGTGTCTGTTGCCCCACAAAAGTGGCTAGGAAATGAATGCCGCGCCGTAGACACCTACGCTACCGTAGTCGAATATATTATAAAGTATATAAAAGGATAAATAAGGCCAGTTTAGAAAGTTTTATAAATAAACTGGAAATATCGAAAATATCTCGATTTTGAATTTAGAATGAGATCAAAATGAAACACATGAACGATACGCAAATGACGACTTTCTTCAAACGTTTTCTAGTTTTCCGAAAACTAACTAGATAGTTCGAAAATCATTTCCGTCGTTAAAGCGTCTCTTGTTCCGAAAAAGGTACACGCCTGTCAACATTCATCGTTCAATAAAAAAAGTGTTAGAATACAAAACGCTTCGTATTGTATAAGGCCAAAATATATTTAGAAATCAAAAGAGATATATAAACAAAAAAATCATTATAAGTGAGATAACTACCAAATTAATGATTTACAAGTTTATTCTTATTATCTATAAAATAGGTTTGCAATGTGCTGATGTGGAATGTTATCGACTAAAAACTTTAAATCTTTGTATTAAATTGATGAAAACAATCCATCAATTGGTTTAGACTATATAGAATGTTTCTAATAAGCAGCGACTAACTTTTATTATAGAACCGAAAGACCCTTTTAAAAGGGTACAAAATTAAAATAAAATATGTACCAAGTAAATGTAGTATTATTTTTTAATTTTGAATCTTGAGAGATGCAGACATCTTTGGATAATTTATATTGAAAATGGTTCCATGAAAGGTTTTCTGTCTAATTGTAAGTAACGACTCATAGTCTCGGCTGACAAAACGTAAAAAAATATCGAACATTATTACTGGGCGAAACGCAACTGCCCCCTATTTTGCACTTCCCAGTTTAAATTTACTTGTAGCAAATGATTCAAATAAGATGTCAGGTCACAAGCAAAATCTCGTAACTATAGCACTAATGATTGCCGAAAATTAACTAATTCATATTCTATGCCATATCTTTCTTAATAAGGACTTTCAGAACTATATTCACCTTACTTGAATTTTTTTCAACGTTTTTTATATAGAATCATCTTTAAAAATGTATGACTTCCAACATGAAGCATCGTGTGAACTATTTGTTCGATCAATAAAAAACGTGCACCAGTCCTGTCCGAGCCAGCACCGTTATGCGCATGAGCTCCGACACACTATTTTCTCCTTATGGTTTCATTTTTGATATATGGAATTGACTTTCTATACTATTTCTATGTTGATTACCCTAAAATGGACTGTATTTATTTAATTATTATGTACCTACCACAACAATTCAATCAAAATGGTTAAATAAATCGTCAGATGTGACTGAAAATAAATTAAAGAAGTGGTTTTTATAGTGTATGGAAATGTTATTTAAAAAATAGGGTAATTTCTTTTTCGTTAATTTTAATTACACTTGGCAACACCGCGAATATTTGAATTGACATAACATGACAGATATAATTCTAAATTCTAATGAATAAGTTTACATAAATGATCAGTTATAATGATCCTCGTAAGCCTTTAATATGTAATTTTTTTAAAAAACGTTAAATTATGGGGTTTCCGATGGTATATTTGAAAAATACTCTCCGTACTAAAGCCTAAAATGTAAGTTTCGTTAAAAAATTTGTATTTTTGAGAAAAGGGCGTCTTCGCAATAATTACCAGGACAAACTTAATTGAAGTTACCCTATCCACTTTGAGGAAAGTAGTTGTG